TGACAAAAAGCGCGATAAAAAGAATGGATTCTCGTCATTATATTTTATAAAACGATATCTCGATAAAAGATTGGATATCAAATCTTGTGCTACGCATTCAATGATATTTTTACGTATTGTGACTTATCGCAAAAAAAAAGATCCCAAGAAAAATAATTTTCTCATTACATTGTATTCGCACAGTGACTCTATAAATACCGAATAATTATTCCGACTCAAATAATGATATTTAATCATGATACCTGACAATCTTATACCTGACGTAGTCGTTTATTATTTACAAATTATAATTCGACGAAAGAAATAATAAGCGCAACTTGGTCGAGGGAGAATCGATAAAGGAACTTCGTAATTCAATCCGAAATGCTATATCAAGAAATGGTGTTTCACTCAGCTGTCTCAATCCAGGAAAAGATGACAAAAAGATAATTTTGTCGAACGAAAGATTAATGCTTAAGGACACTTTAGTCGTTTCCGTTTCGTGTTCACTTTTCGTTCCAATTTGCTCGCCTCTCTTTCTATTCGGGAGAGGAAACGTCAAATGGATGACGGCTTTTGTGCGACGAGAATCAGACGAGATCGATATACGCGAGCATCACGGCGATTGACAAGACATATGTACAGGGTGTCAGAGCAATCTCTTACCAAAAAAAGCTCTTGTAGCTTACCTCGAGAGCTTTTCAAAACACTGTAATAAAATATTTTTTCATCGAGTACTTTTCGAGTCGTTAGGCTTGAAATAATTTCTCAATTTTTACATAAACCATAAAATATCTAGTAAAATATTCATTTTTAATATTTTAATTATAATTTATAATCGAAAAATGAATATTTTATTAGATATTTTATGGTTTACTTAAAAATTAAAAAATTATTTCAAGCCTCACAACTCGAAAAGTATTCGATGAAAAAATACTTTATTATAATATTTTGAAAAGCTCTCGAGGCAAGCTACAAGAACCTTGTTGAAAAGAGATTACCCAGACACCCTGTATATATCTAACATAGACGTATGCACAATGTCTCTTTTTTCGGAAAAGGCTAATAAAATAGTATCGATCGCCAACTGTATCGGAATACGATTCCGCGACGCCGTAAATCATCTGTCATTCTCAACGGGAAATTAATGCGCGCGTTATATAGTGAACGAGTTGACACGTGTCATGCCTTAACGAGCTTTTGGTCGATTTGCGAATCAACTGTTCAATCATTTCTCCCGAAATGAATTAATCCGAATAATAAAGTTGTAATGTGTTTAAAGCATACCAACATTATAATTATTCGGCTCGTTATAGCATAGCAAATTACTCATGATTTTTTTATCATATCTTTGACAGATGGTTTAATTTTGATAACAACGTCGATATCATTGTACAAGTCTTGGTCTTATCGCCATCTTTATAATAAATCATATCCGCAATATTAACTCGTAAATTTAATGACACGATCAAATTAATTGTTGATGCAACAAGAAATGATTAATTGTCACTTGTCAACAAGCTTACGGTGCTGCATAGATGGAAACTGATAATAATTAGCTATAGGCAATGGGTTGTTTTGAGTCTGTAAAACGTGAAAAAATATTCAATAAATATCCAATGCGATGTAGAAATAAATATCACGACGTGCTATTTTAGGATATCGGAATGCGACCTCTCTCTTCCCCTTCCAATATACACATATAATTAAAAATATTAAATTAAAAATTCTTTCGCAAGATATCGAGACATGATATATATGCACTATTGAAATAACATAAAAAGAAAATAGAATTTCAATAAAAAATTTAATAATGAAAATTAAATGTTGCGCTCAATATCTCTCTCTCTCTCTCTTTCTTGTTACCATACAATATAATTCTCGATTTAATAATCGATTTAAAAATTTCCGTTTCCTGTCGATCATCGAGCATCTAATAAAGCGATAAGAGAAGCGTCATAAAATTGGTCCTTGGAATAATCCGTACTGTTAAGAGTGCCGTTATTCGGCTGATGCGCGATCGGGAAATAAACTTGAAAAAGAAGCAAACGTCATTCTAAAAGAAGCAGTCACGGGCCACTGAGCAGCGCGGATACAAGTGTTGGATTGACTCGAGCCATTGAAATCCAATTTCCATCATCCCGTAATTTCCGCGAGCGTGAAAAGCAACCGTGCATACGGTGTCGGTGTCGAGTTTCGGTTTATAATTCGGAATCACCCGAGTCCCGCGCTGTCGGCGCATAATACCGGATCGAGCTAGTTACACGTGCGTGCGTCTCCAGTTTCGACCGCATCCGGTACCATTAAATCCGCCGCGCGAATTCGGACGAAATTAGATTATTACAGAACGATCACGTTGTGTAGCGAATCCAAAACTTTGCTCCATTGTAAACTGACTTATTCTCATCGTGCTTGCGCCAAATTGAAATGTAACGCGAGCTTTAGGTAGACGACATTTGCCTGCGAAAATTTGTAATCGAGACACTTTGCAGTTCGTAAAGTGGCCTCGCCTTTTATCAAATATATTTTTAAAATTTATATTTTCTTATACATGTGTAGCACAATTTTTGACACGTAAAATTAATGAAAGAAGTAAATTTATAGTATCAAAAGCGTCATTTTATCTAATCGCGTCATCTTATCTAAACCACTAGAAAGAACATGAAAATAATGTATATCGTTCCATCGATACGTGTACGTTCTTCCCTTTCTTTATCATGATTTTTTTAAACAGATTAAAGACGCCATGAATACGAGAAAAATTGATTTAAAAAGATCCAACTCTCTCATTATCATAAAAAATTTTATTACTTAAGATCTGCGTTAAATGCATCGAAATATTTTCTCTTCAATTGCAAAAAAATGTATGTTTATTAAAAAAAATATATAATTTATCTTTTACAGCAGTCATTAGTCGAGGTTTCTCTGCGATTAGCTTGCAATGTTCAGGTCTTATCCTAGTGAAAATCCTGTCTCGGACACGAATGGCGAAAGAACATGAAAAAAAAGCCCGACAAGTGATCCACCAGAGCTCTCGCTTCTGGACGGACGCGATGACGTGCTCTCTCACTATCAACTTCCTGCTAGACGCGATACACGCGCTCCTACGTTATTGCGTCTGCGAGGTCAATGATCCGCATAGTTCACAGAGTTATCCGAGTTTTTAACGAATTAGTTTTTAACCCCCATTGCGGGCAAAACATTTGTGTACATCGCTAAAGTTGCAGGAATTTTCTATCTTTTTTCTACGACAGCAATGGGCAAAAGCTGCAGAAGCAAATCAATTCATCCTCAAACAAGATTATTGATGAATTACGAACAGGAGCAAAGGTGTTTCTGCAATTTTCCGCGCAATGATTATCACGATTAATTAGTGATAAAATAGAAAATTTTGATAATCCTCGAGTCGATAGGTATGCATATATGTAGAAAATATATTTACGATTTGATGTAACGCAAAATTCAGCAAAAAAATATTCAAGACTATTGAAATTAATAAAGAAACAAAATAAACTCGACATAATCGCAAAAATATCAATCTGCGTATTATTAAAATAGAATTAATTGGAAAATTTTAATCAGCTAAATAATGGCGAAGAAAAGGATTCGCGTAAACGTAAAAAAAATCGCGATTACTTCATTCATTGTAAATTGCATTTTCAGGTAACAAAGGACCGACAATCGCATAAATTCAATCGGAATAAAAAACAGCGCGCATGAGCGAACACGTATCAAATCTTTTTAAATAGATATCGATTTTCTTTGGAAGCATAATCTCTCGCTAGACTAGTAAATTCAATTGATAAAGAATATTTCATAGCGATGAATGTGCAAAAGAGTCGCGCGAATTTGCACGAATCGAAGAAATCGGATTCGCGAATAAAAGCATTTGCCCAGCGAAATAAATTTGAGTAGAAAATTTATGTGCTAATGAGCAATAATTTTTCTAATCGACGACTGTTTTAATGTCTTTTATACTATAATTAGGATTACATTGGAAAATAATTGTATATAAAAAATGGTAATTCCCCGTTTAATGATTTAATTTAATAATAATGTGCATTAATAACAATGTGTCGTATTACATGTTATATAAAATTTTGCACAACTTTTATAAATCCAATCCAATTTTATTTTTTTTGGCCTTTATTTTACGTTTACAACAAAATCATAAATGGCTCTATTCTTTCGATTATTAATCAAATTGCAGCTATATCGATTGATTAATTCTGAAATTAATACATACCGAATCCTTTTTTTACACATATTTTATCTATATATAAAGCTACAAAGGATAGACATGCAATTAAAGTAGAATTAGGTGTCGTTTTAATTTCAATGCTCGTATCAATATTTCCAATTCCGCGAATTATAATGTTCTTTTAATGGATTTATCATTCGATTTCACGCGACCTTCATGCGTAATTCGTCGACTTGGTGCGCGCGATGAACGCATCCGCTTGTAAAACTGGATTCGTGCAATGGAGTCGGTTAGCAAAGTATGGCTTCTTATAATTCGTTGCTGATTTTCAAGGTCGAATAAAGAGCCAAGTGTGCCACAAACTCAATTTCACTTTGTTTACATCTTGTTTGAAACAAATATATGAAATTTGACATTTTCAGCAGCATTTTCCCTCTAGACTTTCAACGTGCCATTTTTATCGAAATAAATGTTTACTCGTTATATATATTAATGAAAATATGAAGTTTGAAATATGAAGTAGTTTCTTACATGTAAATTTTTTCTCTCGATTCTCCGGCAACGAGATAAAACCTAATCGCACTTAATCGCGATAACTGCAGCGACGCGCGAATCACCTGTCAACACCGTCAACATGTTGATTCGCGCTTCCGTTTGACAGCCGTCTGTTTACCAACAAGCGGCCGGCCATTTTTTTCGGGCGCGCAGCGCATATCGGCGTTGTAGGGCGTAACCATCGTCGATGCGAAAATTCACTTTCCATGCCCTAACCCTAAAAGCCCTACGACGCATCGCGACGCGTTCGCGGTTTCTCACTCACCTTCTGGATACGCCTGTTTGCTCTGCACCAAGTCGATGAACATATTCGTTACGTTGTACAGCTGGCCCATGCCCTTCGGATTGAACTTGGTGGTGGCGTTGTAGGGCAAGCCGGCGATGTTGATCGTCGAATAGGTGAGCGCCTGCGAAGCCATTATCTCGTTGAGCTGTCGGTCCAGATCCTCGCTGATCGCCCGCATACGATTCGTCAGACTGTTTTCCTGGCATGACACCGGTGGCCACACGAGCACAAGCGACACAAGACATACGCGAAAGAGGAGCACCGAGACCGTCGCGTCTCCGTTCGCGACGGCCTGCGTCGACCTGCGTAAACGCGCGTAACGATACATCGCTGACACCTCGCGCCCGGGACGACGCGCCGCTACCAACTGACTCCTCCTCGCGTCGCGACCGACGAAACGGCGGAATCGGACCGCTCCCCCCACTCCGCCTGTCCCCTCCACAACACTTTCGCTCGTTCTCGGCGTCTCGATAGCGCCCTGCGCGCCATCTTCACGCTGGGGAGAAACTACGTCTCGGTTTCCAAAGCGCATGTGCATATCTTCGATGGCGGAATCGCATCAATTCTTCGTCGAATCTCAATATTACTTTGTGACATTAATTTGAGAGCCACAGCAATTATTTAAATCTCGAAATATACACTTTAGATTAATTATATCTTCCCGTAAGTAAAAAGTTTGTAGAAATATTTATCTGTTTCTATAGAATATTTAGAGAATTTGTAAAAAAATTTTGGACACTTGGAAACGTTGATTTAATCGTTTGATTGGATTAAGGCATGTATTTTAGAGTAATAATGATTCCATTTAGATAAGAAATAAAATATTAATCGAAATTGTAAAATATCTGCATAGAATATCGCGATAATATAACTGTACGAACCTCGTAGATGGAGCCTCGTTATTGAAATAACTTTTACAGCGCGAAAAATAAATCTCGTTACTACTCGTCCATTATACGTCGACCTTTAGTTCGTGCCCGCTCGTTTCGCTTGTTTAACAATCTCGTTCCGTGTTCCAGAACAATAATATACGGAAGAGTCGATCGCGTTTACGTCGTTTCGTTTTTTTGTATTAAAAAAGTGAGGTTTTACGTGGAATCGATACATATTCATGATATCGTCGTTAAATGCGTCGTCATTGGATTTAAGATTGATTCGAGACATAAATCGCGCGAGTGAAGCAAATGTGGCGGGAGAAGCAAACGTCAATGCAGTGGACGATCGTGTTTGCTCATGTCGTGCGTATTTTTTACCTCGTTAATAAAAACAGTGTTCAGTAAAATTATTGAATATAGAATATCGCGTTGATAAATGAAATAGCAAAAATATCAATTTAAAAGAGTAAGTGTTCTTTTATGGAGATATGTCATCTCTTTTTTGAAAACAATAGCCGATTATTTCATTATTGTTTACAAGACAATTAGTTTCTGCTTTAGAAACAATTATAGCAATATTATACGTACGTATAATTATTACGTTCTACATGTTTATATAAATGATAGGATGAAAGTGATAATTTTTTCAAGCAGTTTTTATCCTTTGATATAATTTGAATTTTAGTTTTGAAAAAGTCCGTGAGATGGCTCTTAATGAATATTTCCCGTCGGTAAAATATGACGTATCGCGCGCAAGAGAGAAACATGGCGGGAGGAAAAGGAGTTTGAGAAATTGTTTGTGCACATTTATCTAACAAGGCAACGTTTATTTAACAAGGTAAATTATTATATTACGATTCAATGAAGCCTAGATTTGAATATATATATGAGTAATTAATTTTTAAAGAAAAGATAAGCGCGTCAAATAAAGAATCGATGATGGATTTTGCAGATTGTTTCACCGCTTATGTCTCATCGTTATATTCGAAAAAGAAACAGTGTTTTTTTAAATAAATTTTGTTTCTCATTTAAACACAGGGAACACATATATTGGCATTCTTATTGTTCATCGTTGGACGACAATCAACATACTTTTGGGAGAAGAGGGTTAATCATCAGAAGGATCATGCTGTAAATTTTTTTAAATGGTACATTTCTTGGAACGATTTGCTGTTACAACCATAAAACATCGAGAGAAAAACAGAAGAAAACATCAAACCGTAAGTTATATTTCTGTCCATATACACAAATATATATACGTAAATGTATATTCTAAAATTTACTGCTGTGGCTGTCATCGTATTTCACTCGCCAAAAATCTGAAATCGAATGTATATATATATATATATATATATGATATATGGTACAATATATCAACAGTAATTTGCAATAAATTGCGATTGTACTTTCCATAGTATAATAATGATGCGCTATATAAAGGAAAACAATCGTTAAGAGTTGTGTGATTTTCACTTTGTGTGTTTTGTACATCGTGACATATATTTTTTTGATGTTCTTTACATAACATTTTCACAAACATCTATTATTTCAAAATTATAAGATAATTATTTTTCTGATAAATGATATAAATTATTATTAATAATTAATTTTCTTTATAAATAATATAAGTAATTATAAATATAAACGTGCAATTATATGCATTAGATTGCAAAATGATTATTTCATTTAATTTGTTTGATTAACTAAAATGTGTATCGTTAAATATCTGTGTCATTCGGATGACGCTGAATATATAATGAAATCAGAGTCACAATTTTACGATATCAAAAAGCGGATTTCAATGTTAATTGCCATATATTTATTAATAATAATGTTTTAAAAATTCAACATATTTTAACATTTTGTTTATTCATTTCCGACATAGATTATCTGTTTTTGATAATAAATTTGACGAGATTTTATTGAGATAATACACAAGTACATTGATAAGCTGACGTATTATTTCATGTTATATCAAACTAGCAAATGATTAAATCTGTCGAGATATCTCGAGTGTTCAATAATTTGACCCGAATATCGATAACTGATTTTGAAAGATTGATGTGATAAAATATTTACTGGTAATTTAAAAAAGTCACACAATATGTATATGCTAGAATAAGCTAGTTCCAGAAAACTAGACAAATGTTTTTTAAATTCGACATAATGATCTAGACTATATTTTATTCCAGTCTAGCTTTGACACTATGAGTGCATGTATGTATACATGAATGGGGAAAGTGAGTACATATGTATATATGTGTTATTATATATATTCTTATGAACTTTTCCAATCATATGGATTGTAGTTAACAATAAATAATTTTGCGTAAAAATATGACATACAATATTTTACATAAATATTTAATATTTTACATAATGATTATTAGTAAAATAATTCCTTTGGAAACTTAGCAACTAAATGAGTAAATATTTTTTAACATAAAAAATATATGATATATATAATATATATATTTATTTGAGATTTCCTATAAATAAAAATAGTCTAAATATTAATAAATACTCCTTTAGCCTTTTGCTATAAATTAATAATAAAAAACATTAAAGTAAATAGAATTTTAAAACTTTTCTGGTTTCATTCGAGAATCGAAAATATTGAAGATGAATCAAGAAGCGTAAAATTTTAAATAGCTTAAATCCTTGATTTAATGGGCTTAGGTAATTCCTTCACATCTGCAAATTTATCTAATGGAATTTCGGGCATTTCCAGTATCGATGGTAAATTTAGATCTTCTTGTGGTTTCATCCAACGATTTATCCTATAAATAAATATTAGATAGATCTTAATAAACAAATTATCTTAGTAAATTGTTTATGAAAATTACATATTACTGAATATATGAAAGTTAGTTTTATATAAAAATTCCAAAATAAATATAAAAAATTTTCATTATCTTTTGAATTACTTAATAAAAATTAAAAATATAATGTATGTAAAATAATTCTATTAAAATATATATAAGGAACGACAATTATTTTACATATGTTGTAGTTTAAAACAAAGCTAGTCATGCAAATAGAATGTAGAAAATAATACCTATCGGAAATGTCAGCTGGTGCAACGCTTTGAATATCTGTCGAAAAAGTACGTTGAAGATCACTCATCGTATCGTCTCTGTTACTATCAGTGATTAGCATAGATGTTGTTAATTTATTTTCATCGCTTGGAATCATTCTAGAATTTATTATCGAATCGTTCATAATTGATGTTTCCTCTGCGATATTTTTAGGTGTTGCTTTCTGATCTTGAACAAATACTTCTCGAGATTTATCAGCCGAATAATGATTATTTGTAGGAATCTGATCGATTATTTCATCCGGATATCGATATAGTACGTTCTTTTCGTAATAATATTGTCCCGGTTTTGGGATTTTTGGCATATTGCTTTTTATCTGCTGTGCTAATGGTCTTGGAACTTCACTGGTAACTTTATATTGAGATATGTATCCGGAATGACCAGGATGATGGACCGTTTCGAGTGTTTCAGTGACGATTGTTACGCTTTGTACCTTTGTTGGCTTTGGATTGAGATTTCCGTCTTTCCCATGTATCGGAGAATTAATCGTCGAGATTTCTAACCAATATGGAGTACTGGATAATAATGGGCCATTTAAATCAGGTGATTTGATCGGATTTTTATAAGAATTATCATGTTTATACGAATCCGTAGTAGACGGTCTATTGATCGATTCTTTTGAATAAGGAGGCAATGGTGGTTGATTGTCTTTTTGATATATCGGATAATTTGTTAATTTCTGATTGAATGGAGAATTATTTGGATTAAAAGAATCGCTTTGAAGAGGCTGACTACTTTCTGTTATATAAGATGAGACATCCATCCCATTATTTGGAGTAGTTGATAGTATTTTTTGATAAATCAAAGTTGCATTGAAATATCGATCATAATTACTATGATTTGTAGGAAATAAAGTACTCAATGTTGGAGATGCACCTTTTCGATATGAAGAAGTGCTTGTTTCAGAATTCGAAATAAATCCATAAAGTCTATCTTGCAGGGAATCCTTGTTAGAATCTTTTGTCCAAAATTGAGAACTATATTCATTATTTGGCCTGTTAATCGGTGTTGTTTGATGGGAGTTGTTAATGTTATAACTTGGCGGTTTAATATTTGGTTTTTTACGATATGCATCAGGATCATCGTAATCATATGGTCTCTCAGAAGAAGGTCTCACGTGATAATTATTCGAGTTCCATTGCTCTTGATGTTGTGGCTTATTCAGATTGACCTGGTAATCTTGATTCGGTTTGTTATTTAAATTGTCATTCTGTAAATTTTCTATACCGTGCGGCTTTTGTATGCCATATGATTGATTTGGTTTTGAATCCGGTCGTAAGTTTGCTGGAGACATAAATTCGCCGTAAGCCGGTCTCTGTAATCTATACGATTCATCGTCTGGTGAGTTGGTTGCAGGTTTAGATTTATTACCTACGATAGATAGTTTCTGTCCATAGTACGCTTCGTTGTTTGATTCATAATTCGGTCGCATGGTTGTTGAAAGTTTATGTTCGTAACTTGTTTTGTGAGTATGATAAGATTCGTCGTTCGATGCATAATTTGGCTTAAAATTCGACGGCACGTTTGATGGAAGTTTAAAATTAACGTCAGGCTTCTGCGTTGATTTTTGTTTATCGCTTAATTCATAATGATGTTCAGGATTGATCAAAGGCTTTTCGTAAGTGTGCGAATCGTGATTATTATACGAGGATCCGTAATTGATTAAATAACCATCGACCTCGCGATTGGGCATCTGGGTGGTATATTTTTGCTGGAAATTCGTATAATAGGTATAGAGAGTAGGCCTCGGACTTGTGGGAGAATAATTGTCGTAAAAGACATCATCCTGCGCAAAGGTAGGGGATCTATATCCGTAAGCGAGCGGATTCGGGTTACTAGGATCGTCGAAAGCGTGAGGAACATACGGATAACTCGCCGAATGAAAACTTGTCGAATGGGGAATTGTCGTGGGTATCGGTTTCGCTTGCGGCCGATATACGGGCCGATAATTGTTTACAGCTTGATTAAGATTCGAAATTGGTTTGGTGGCAGGCTGCTGTATCTTGATGTGCGAATTGTAAATACCCTCGTTCACGAAAACTGGCGAATTCACGGCATTGTTCTGGACCACGATTGTGACATTATTGTTATCCGGACGTCCAAGCGGTCTTTTTATGATAATTTTATTTTCTTGATTAATGCTGCCTTTGAAAGGCTGAATCTTTGCTTGTTCTTGATTGCTAATCTTCCTTCTCGAATTGATATTTTCTTCTTTCGATTTCGAAATAGAATCACCTATACCGGCCTTCATCTTGTGCGATTCGTCGACGTAGCTTCTGAATTCGGACGGTCGTTCGGCCCAAAATTCGAGATCCAATTGTCCAATGATCGGATCGTCGCAGGACAGACGTCGGTTCTTCAACGTATCCGTTGCGAGAAAGACAAACGGTTGTATGGTCTCGATGCCGTCCATCGTTCGGCACAGTACTTGGGCTAGAGTGGTTCGTCTAATCTGCTGCAGCTGACCGGCAGTGAAGCTACTTTCGCTTTCACCATTCTCGTACCAAAATCGATCGCCGCGTCGAAGGTTGCTAAACTGCTGGCCGATTATGCAGGCAAAGGTTGGACCGACCAGGCCACCGGCCACTGACTTCTCCGCCAGCCCGGCCGAAAAGAGATCGATATCTTCCACCGACGAGTATAGCAATCTAAATTTCCTCGCGATTTCCGATGACATCACTCTATCGAGATCTTCGAAGTTTTTTATCGGGGACAAGCTGCAAGGCTCGCGCCATCGCACGTAAGGCGGCAGACCGTGATCCCTGCCTCGCTGGATATTGAGAGAAGCCAGATCCATACCGAATCCGAAGCCGGGTGTTTGAAAGAGATGATTCGTCATCTCCTCGGTTATGAATTCGTCTCTTCTCTGGCACGGTTGATTCACTAGCCCCAAAAGAAGACGATCGACCGATCCCGCCGTCTCCAAATTCGCCGGATTGCTAAACTCGTCGTGGATCGAGACATCTACGATAACATTTGTTTATTTAATTTTATATTAAATGTATAATATTACTTAAAAAATTTGTTTCGTATATAATTAATTATAATTATATGACGAATGTTGAGAATAATTGCATTCTCCTCGCAGTGTCTCTAAACATTTATCGCACGATTAGTAATACGTTATTATTATTATTATGCGATGCAGCATATCATATACATACATATATTTGCACCTATTAATTACATCGAATTTTGAGCGCTTCATTTAAAATTTATATCAGACGGCTCATCGTAAATGTAAATTAATTATTAATTGTAGTTTAATAATTAAGTTTATATATATATTACGCGGAATCAAATAATAAGTGCATGCTAAAAAATTTTAATTCTACTTACTATTAAATATAGGCCTGTGATTGCTGTCAAATCTGACAAAACTCTGCTGGACCAACGAGTGTCCGAATCGATAGGCCGCTGTTGAAAATGCATTTACAATTGTAGGATTTATGGTCGGATCGTATCCTTCGTAGTAATTTTTTTTGAGAACTTCCAGATCAAAAATTTTCATCACATGAGGACCTAAAATTTTTGGGTATTTTTAAAACGCTTTATCTTGTGTTACTATCGAGTAAACATAATAATTTAGAAACAAGAAGTTGTAGTACCAAGAACGATCGGCAGAAACTCTCGATAAGTTATATGTTGAATTACGGCGCCAATGATTCTTCGGGTTTCTTGAAAAAGTTTCTCATCGCTCCAATGGGAATTTAAGGCGGATAGTTCTGTAGCTATCCTATTGTGCAATCTTAGAAAGACGACGTGTAGGGATGTAAGAGCAGGCTGCTCGGTGAGACGTCCGTCACCGGCTCGGAAGCACGTCGTCGACAAGGATCCGCGTTTACACAGATCGGATTCACGTTTTGGAAGCATAGGTCGTCGCGATTGAATTTTTCCGTATTGCAACAACCCTAAAATTTCAGAGAATTTTTGTCATGAAAAATGGAGAATATTTTTGTGGAATAGATTATTTTCTCTTCTTCTCTATTATGTTGTAAAAAGAGAATTCTACTTACCGTTTCGAAATATTCTCAGACTGTCACTATGTATGGCGTTACTGCTATAAACTGTGGACGCATCCAGATAACTGGTCACTTGGGAGAGTTGTTCTCGAGCGCCGAATTTGCAGCCCTCCTTAGGAGCCGGTCCACTTCTGAGAAACTCTAAACATCTTACGCCCAGAGGACCGTAGAAGCTGTCGCGTAGATTCACTGCTATTGGTAAACACTCCGGGTGCTATCGATTTATAAATTTATTTTCTTTTACTGTATTTTCTCATAGGATATATAAAATTTCCAACTTTTTGAATGGAACGTGCAAAAATTATTATCTTGCAGTTTGACGCTGCTATTTTTATAAAGATGTATAAAATGTTGACCTCAAAACTTTATAATAGATATTCTATGGATATATGAAAAGTTATCGATGGACGTATTTATTGATTATTTTATTTATTACCATAAACTCTGGCGATTGAAAACCGACACCTCTTGGTAAACAACATTGTGGCACTGTACCATTAAATCCTCTGCTTTGACCGGTCGCTATCATATATAATAAATATAGTTGTATAAAATGGTACATGCACAATTACATTTTCAAATAAAATCCAAATATAACATTTATAGATGTAGATATATCTGTAGATAATTTTTTCCATCTCGTCTTTAATAATGTACCTGTCAAATCATGATCTACGAATTGTCCCCATTGCATTAGCATGTGAGTAACGGATGCCAAAGGAATGTCTTTACTTTCATGGACTAGACTCGAGATATCTCGCGCAGACGGGAGCGGTCTTCCATTTTTCGATCTTCTAATGCTTTGAACGCCATCATCGTATTCCGGTGGTAAAAATCTGAGTGTAACAATGACTTTTCGTGTATAATATTTTGAGAAATATTTTGTGATATTTAAGATTATTAATTGTCCTTATTGTATCGCTTATACCTCTGCATCGCAGACATCGCGGAACCCCACCAGAGATTTTGCAAGTTGTTACAGCTACCGTCAGATGTTCTGTATCTTAGACTAGCCGGTGGGCATTGAGGTGGGTCTCTTTGCGGGCATTGTTGTTCCAACAGAGTTCTTCGGTTAAACTTAGTTCGGGATAAAGGTAATTCTAATGGTGCGTTGGGAAATCTGAATAATTAGAGCAGAGGCAGACGTAAAGACTTTTCTTATATCAACACTAATGAAAATTTACTGTCACTTGTTAAAAACTTACTTTTTTAAGAACATAGCGGTACCTTGAAGAACTGCGTATCCGAATTTTGCGAGATCTCTCGCCTCCTTCGATTGATCGTTAAATGCTGCCACGTATCTCGCTGGATTGTCGCGTCCAAGATAAAGACCTATATTTTTGTTTCATCAAAAGTGATATTTATATAACAAATTTATACAAATTTATACAATATTTAACGATAGCTAGTATATTAAGAATTTTATTTTTTTGCAATAAATTTTTATTTTTTTTTTCTCTTTTTCCTTTCAATTCTTACCTAGTGAATGTAACTTGGGTTCCTGGATGTAGAAAAGTTTGTGCATGGCTTGCAATCCAAAATCTGCAGCTTCCATCAGATCGTCTTCTGCGGGTTCCCAGTTTTCTTGTTCGATGCGACTCTCGAAAGTTTGATTTCCAACTTTCGGATCAGTATTCTGTATCATCGCATTGCTCATTCGGATCAAACTTTCATTCGAATTTTTAACAAAATGTCCTTTGGTTGACGAAAAAACTTTGTCACTTTTGTTAAAATGTTTATTTATTTTTTCATCGTCATTCTGTTGTTCAAAAAATTTTACTTGCTGCGACGTGTTACTTTTAATATTGTTCAACGATTTCGGAATATTATTTTTGATATCCGCATTATTCAATGGTTCGGTTAAAGACTCTTCTTTTTGATATAACTTTATATCTTCTATTTTTTCATTGTCTTCATTTTCCTTTTCTTTTTTGACCGACTTTGCCACTGTGAAGCTTGCAGAAGTACGCGATGCGTTCAAAAATTCATGTCGAATTCCATTTCCCGTCTGATTCGTCTCTTTTGCACGAATGTACGTAATTCCGGCGGAATCCCTCGGCTGTAACACATCCGTTGCTATTCCCTTTTCTATCTTTTCCTTTAGCAACTTTTGTACATATTTCAAACGAGTTGCTTCGATAGAATACAAAGTATTTGTATCGCTTTTCTGGATGCTTGGAGTTAAAGGATTGCAGTCCGATGAAGTATTTACCCTTTTCTCCAAATTACTTGTTGATGCGAAAAGCAATTGTTCGTCTTTGTCGGAAATTTCTACTTCGTAATTTGACGTTTGATTTTTGATGTAATATTTTGCTTTATCGTTTTCTTCTCCCAACTTTGATGATAATGCGTAGGAGAGAGAAGAAAGGATGATGCTGATATAATTAAAGTAAAAATTATTTATTATAATACGATACGTGTCAAAAAAAAGTTGTTATAAATTTATATATTTATTTCTCGCTGATGTTAAATAATCTAAAGAATCGTAAATATCTATCAAAAAATCTTGACTGCAATCTAATCTAATCGATATGTCTTCAATATTATGCATTTTTAGCATTAATTTTTCGCAGTATTTCACAATACGATTTGATTTATAATGCTTTGATAAGCACGAATTTCGATATCGATCAAATAAAAAAAAGGAATACAAATAATATTTTACATTTCCTATTCGATATTGATTTGATCAAATTAATCTGCATGATTAACGAATATTTCATTTTTATGAATATCATTGCAATATTTAAATAAAATCTTTATTATCGCATATCATTTATTATGATATAGTCACGTGATAGATTCATAATTTTACAATTAGTGCATCATGATGCAGCATTAATCACTATGTAAATCGAATGTTACAACATCCTAATACTAATTATGTATCTATTTATTGCTGCTATGATGATTATAAAGTACTTGACATTTTAAAGAAGGAGGAAACTACAATATTACATTTAAAAAAGAGGGATCACGAATAAGTCGAAATATTTACTAAATGAAGCTGTCGGCATTGTGAGGCGTTAAGATCGAGAGAAATGTAACGGGATCGCGAATTGTGGAACGGCAAAGGCACACGATGAGTTAAAGAAATTATATATATATATATATATATATATATATATATATATATATATTGACCTTATTAAACTGTATTAGAAATATCTTTTCTAAAATTTTTTGACAAATAATAATTACATCAGAAAAATATGTATTTTTATAAAGTAGAGATACATTTGTATCTCATCGTTTAACAAGTGATGCACAATTCGCTTCAATTCAATCCCTGATTAAACAAGTATTAGTTGAAGAAATATATACATCATCTAATGTATATTGGTTAATTTCAAATTTGTTAAGATATAAAAAAGATTTACAAACATTGGAAAATATTAAACATTTTGCGAATCTTGAAAATGATTCACATTTTATTTAATTTGTAAATATTATTATATATATTATTATATATATTGTAAATATATACTTGCAATCATCAAAGAAATTATAAATTTCCTTAAGAATGTTTGCAAGTACATGAGCCAAGATTAAAAAATAAAAAGCAACAGACACCCTAACGACTCACAAAATTGCAAAGCGCATTTTGCGCGGTGACACGTCCCAGGCTGCATTTACAACATCCATCGATGCATACTCGTGCAAAATTCTCGCAAAGATAAAGCAAAGTGAAAACGCGAAAACAAGATTGAGAATCGGGAGAAAAACGACGAGAAAAAAAAGAAAAAACACGCGAAGACGAGGTGGCGGCCTTCTCGAGGACGGTTAACCAGGTACTAACTGGCGATCAGATCGGCCGACTGGTCTTATCCGCGAGGAAGGACGGTGCCTCCAGGCTTTGCTTTTTGTTCATCGGTGTCGATGTGTCATCATTTTTTTGTGTATTTTTACTGTTATCCGCGGCCTCTCGTTATTTCGACTGTCCGTCGTAGATCGTCTAGTGACGGGGAGAGCGGCCGCGTTCGTCCTGGATCATCTCTCGGCGGAAAGACGGGAGATGAAGCTTCCTATAATTGTGCGGTAAAATAAACGCTTCCTCGCGATATGCAAGAGGTATATACAACGATCGCGTTGACGATACAGCGAGCCGAGAAATTACACTAATTAGCGTGTCGCTCAATCGATGTTGCCTAGATTGATTACTGGTTTTACTGATTGACAAGTTTGTTCCAATACCATTCATAGTTCACATCAAAACGATATTTCCCATAAAATTGAATCATTTTCGTAGAATGATGTATTATTCTCATGTGCTTAGTATCGTTGAATAATTTTTTTGTAATGTTTATTAAGCTTTATCTTAATTCTACAATTAAGCTGGTGATGTTTGACCGATTATAGATTTTTAACAATGCTAAATTTATTTGAAAATATTTATTATAGTGCTTTATATATATTATAATAATATGATAATAAACTAAAAAGTATAAAAGCTTAGAAATAGTCTTTTATACAAAAATAATAAAGATTTGTTACATCTGTATGTGTAATAATATATATGACAAAATCTCTCGCAGATTACACCAGATTAATGCAGAATTAATTACAATTATTGAATTACCTCGTCAGTGTCTGGCCGCTTTCTCTTGAGCTTGCAAGCTCGCTATCGCTTTGCCTGTGCCATAGAGCACTTTTGCGCGGACTTGAACTCTTCTTGTAGTTGTGCTGCTTGTTCCAGAAGTAGACGACGAGCTTCCGGTGTTGCCACCGGGAGTCGTGCCCAATTGTAAAGAATTGCCCGCATAATTCGCGCCTCTGCAACTCGTGCAACCCTCTGACATCGTGTCGCTGCTGATATTCTCTCGTATTATTGTCCCGAAAATCTTCCCTAAATGAACAATAATCTCGTATAATATCAAATTTAATAAGGGACAATATTTATAGGAACTAAAAGAAAAACTAATGTCAAAGTTTTCTTAAAGAATGGTTGTGATTCCGGGTTGCCAAGTATGTATTTATTGATTTATGTGTTTTTCTATATCTCTCGTGATATTTTTCCAATATTTAATCTGCATCGCAATTTTATACGCTATAAAAAGTTTATTAAAAATTTTTATAAAGTTTCCAATATATAAATTATACTATAAAATAAGTTAATTACTATTTATGATATTTATTGTTATAATTTAGTGCTGCACATGGAGCATCTGTATTTTGAAAAAAAAGCGTATACCGACAAATGTAGATGAGAACGATTTGAATAGCAGCACCAAATAAAAGTATTAATCGTCTGAAACGGCTATAAGCATCGCATTATCGCAATATTACATGATGTAGGACACAATCATCTCCTTCAATGCCATTAATACAAGGATATTGAGCGCCATTGTATACATTATGTATATATTTATCTTTTCTTGAGGGAGACTAAAGCTTATAATTTTGCATTATTTTTATTAAATCACGACTTGTGCAATTTTTTAGCATTATTTAAATAATTTTTTTCTCGCGCTTTATTAAAAGCTTTGCATTATAATTTCGTTACCTACGATGGTGAATTAAATCCGACGATTCAATTGACAGTGATGTTGCAATTGATACAATGATCATAATTTAGAAACTCGTAAGGGTTATTTGTATTAAATTGGCTCTAGAATTTCTTTATAATAGTTTAGCTTTATTGATAATGTTGTAATAAATTTTGATAACTTTTGAAAATTAATTATAAATGACAGGTAATTAATTATAGTTGGCTAATATTGTGCAATTTTTTGCCATTTCTTCGCAATCGAAGGCATGTCAGCAGTCTGTTATAGTGCGCAGTGCGTGCTACTAACCCGCGTGCCGTTCACCATAAATCCGGGAAAATCTGGGTTAATTATACTAATAGCAAAATATACATATATGGCAAGTTTTCCTGTCGTTGACCGGAAAAGGTCGAAACCCTGCAACTTCTTGCCCGATTTGTAAATATGAATTTTATAAAGAAATATAAAGTATGATATAATAAAATTAATCGTGCTATATTTATATATTTTTTTCATAGATAATTTTATATATATATCTAAAGAAACAACTGTATAATTGATTTTCAGGACGCTCAAAAACTGGATGTATAAAAATTATTTATTTAATGGTGATGGCAAAAACTCTTTAGACGTCCAATAACTTTACGATGTTTTATTTTTATTTAATTATATATTGATTTTTACTTAAAAAATTTTCCAAGGTTATATAATAACAAGGAAAGCGATGTATAATTACGTGTTTTTACACATCTCTTTTAATATATTTTAAAATTTTGTTAATACACATTTGTAATTTTATTTACATTTAACAAATTGAAATGTAAACTACTCTTGATATCATAATATTCTTTCAACACCGTACATAAGTCACTGGAAACTTATTAAAATGGCGACAAATTATTTTAACGCGATAGAGACCAATCGATTTCTCACATTTTATCATAAGCTACTCGAGACCATGTCGCGAAATGTTGTTTGGATTTGAATTTATTTTTTCGCGGAAGTTTCGCAAAGTTTGGGGCTTTATCTTTTTGACTCGTACCGATTCGAAAAACCGCGTCGTGTGATTTTTCGCCGGACTCTTCCACTTGGTCTCTCTCAACTTGGTCTAGGACAGAGGCACGAGTTTGTAAAATCGGCAATGTTTAGCGTGTTCGCGTCCACGGCGCCGAAGGAACTGATCGGCCGTGTTCCAAATAGCCGGTTGGTAGGCTTCGCCGAACACACTCGTCTCTCTTTTCTTCTTCTTCCTCCGCGTTGTGCCACTCGTTTGTCGTCAGCGTCTTCACCATCGTCAAAATCATCGTCTTGGTCGTCGTCGTCGACGCCATCGTCCACCATCCCGTTTGTAAGGGATGAGGGCGATTAAGACGATTCGAATCGACTCCGGGTGACTTGCGAAACTTAAATTAAAGTTGTCAGTTGTATCAATACCTTTATTGAATTAGATATAAATATAGATATGAAAATTAATCCGTCTCTATTAATGGGCTGTCTTTAAAAGTTTTAAAATATTATATGAATGTAAGCAACAATCAAAGAATGACATATCCTTTTAAAAGTACTCGATAATATGATTACTTTTACGCGGCTATGACTCATAATTACGAATTCTGAAAGAGAATAAAGGAGGACAAAAGAGTCATGGGGAAAGAAAGAGAGAGAAAGAGCAGGAAATAGCGAGTAAGAAGGAGCAAAGAGGAGAATGTGCATTGTAGTGTGCGTGTGGCAGAAACTCAACTGCGATACGTAACCTTCGATTGGTAAAAATTGGAACGGCGAGCGGCCGGCCGGACCTTGTGCCCCGCATAATTCTTTCGCAACGCGGCTGCTGCACATGCACGTGCGCATTCAAGAGATCCGTCTAAAATCGAATCGGTCAACGGCGATTCTGCGAGAAGAGGGGACACGATGTGTTTCTGGGCCTTCGCGGCGCCGGAGGTTGCACGGTTCACGATACGTAAACGGGATACGAATCGGAGCACGTTGACGATTCTTATTTTTCCGTTTGAGAAATAACAGTCTATGTATGTAAGGTAAAGCGTACGATAAAATTTCGACATGTCTATTACGCACAATAAAATACTTTGCTACGAGATGCAGGATATTTCCTAGAAATACACAGGCCTTTGTCAGTAAACTGCTCCTATACGTCCGTCACGAGAAACAAGCTGACGTAATAATTTGATTGATACTTGCGTTGCGCTCATTGAATATTCTATCGTGCTCGACGTTGTTGCGTCAAAATTGCCATTAATGGAATCTGTATTGCAAATTTGTACACAAAGCGCCAGAGTGCGACGTATTCAGCGGGATGTTGGTCGTTCTTTGGCAAACATTGCGAATCTGAAATTTGAAAATATTCGAGCCGTAGAGTTGAAAGAAATGTAATCGATGAACCGAAATACCGTTACCATTCGTGATGCGAGGTGCCTTTCTTTCGTTCGTGACGTGGTGCAATTAAATATCAAAATGAATCGACTCCACGTTGACCATCTTGCTCTATCAGTATCTCGCCGCAGTGGGACAGTCAACAATGGGGTCAGCCGAAGGCAAATCCGGACTGCGGGTCAACCAATCGTGTTCGTTCGCGCTCTCAGTGTCCGTATTTTCGTGACAATAAGTATTAACTGTATACGTATACTATAGTTCCGCAATAGTATTAAATTTGCACTTCCGCAGTGACGTAGCGTCAGTTTTTTTTAAATTAAAAGTAAGCGTAAAAAAGATTGAATATCTCTGATCTAACAAACTTCATGTTCTATAATAAATAGAACAATGCATATAGATTTTTTTTTCACCATCTCTCTTCTCATTTTATATTTAATTTCTAAATAAATAAATTGATGCATACTAATCTTTTTTAAATTTTATTTAGTACGATAGGATTATTTACGTGCAATTAGCAAAATTGTGACTGTAAACTCAATCATCTATTATTATTGTAACCACTTAATAAAGCCAATGGTTTAGGAAACTTTCTCTTATTGCCCGTAATTTATGCGTTCTTCTATGCCATCTTATTGACATCATTCTATGATCAAATTTATTTTTTGTTGTACCGTTTTCATGATGTTAGCTAAAGCCATTTGTAAAGGTTTATTCGGGGGAACTTCTCGCGACGCATTCGCCGGAAGGACAGAGTATATAATCGCGTCTAGAGTGGGGAATAAATAAAGAGTAGGTGGTAGGTTCTCGGCAAGACGAGAAACAAGACGGAAGTGGGTCAGCGGGACTATCGGTCGTCGAGGGTCCGGGTTCTCGTTTCGTTTGCACTCGTTTGATTTGCCGGAGGTGATGATGCTGGGTAAAACTGGATATAAGTTGTTCCAGAAAAGATAATAATTGATGGAGGCGGTAGAGTAAGTTTAGTTTGAAAAAAGAATTGGCGAATTAAGTGGTTTATTTATTTTTTTATTATTTTTATTAATTTTATATATATATATATATATATATATATATATAATTTATTTATATAAGGCTTTAAAAGAAAGATTGTAAAATTTACATCATATAATTCACAATTAGACATATAATTGTATCTCTTTTTCACGCTGGTTGTATAATGTATAATATAATAATATATATAAATTGTAAAAAATTAAAAAAATTGAAAAATTCGAAATGGAAGAAAAATTGTGCTTTCATATTTATCGGTTTTTACCTTTCAAACGATACATCACTAGGATATGATGAATAAATTTGATCGAGACAAATAGAATATTATGTTTTATTTTGGGCGCTTCCGTCGTGATACATTGTCCCCTACAAAAAAAAAAGGGAAAAAATCCAGTCGCAACAGAAACGAAGCCATCTTTTCTATACAAACATCAATTCGCTACTGTACATAATTACTCGCATACGCGATACATCACAAATGGCGCATTAAAGTGACATCGCGTACAAAAATTTCATTTCAGATTAGGAAGGATGGACGGGATGGGGGGGCAGCAAATGGGGGCAGAGGAGAATGTTTTCGTTTGAAGTTCAACTAATTAATTCATATCGCCATCGCATAGGCACAGCTATAATACATCACGATGAGTGGGTCGCGTGGAAATGAAATTTTTAGTATAGTTTCTTTCGTTCAAAATAATCTCTCTCTAATTTTTTTTCCGTACATGCACAATCACTCTCTTTTTCTCAAAATATTTACAAATATTTCATTCACGTTCGCTTCTTTATTAGCTCGGCGCATCTCTTACTCTCCCACTTCCTATATCGTAATACTTATATGCTAACGGTTATTTTACATTCAACATCGATAGACACCCACGTAGTGCTAATAAAATTTTTATCATTGTTTCAATCGAACAAAAACGAGCATTTGCTTCTAGCTTAATACATAATAGGGAAAAATAAACGCAATCGTTTACATGGTTAAATCAATGCACCGCCAATTACGCTAGCTCTTCTAGAGATCAATCAGCTTAGTAGATTAAAGTACAAAGTTTACTCAACTCCATTATTATATTTCCTATGATATCAAAGAAAGAGAGATACATCTATGTTTTTTCCATCACACTTTTTTTGCTTATGACATTAACATTTTAACCAAATTAGCGGTGTACAGAATTACCTATGTAATTGGCGAAACACGCTCTGCCCCTAATAATTCGTCGATTCTTTCGTCATCTTATCGATAAAAAAATATGTGCACCATGCATCTTCATTAAATGCAAATGGCCCCTTGGTGCACGATACTACTGCTCAATAAGCATGATATATTCGAGAAAATGTTCGAATATATAATAATAGTTAAATATATACATATATATCGAATCTGCGACGTGAAGGACGGATTTCACGATAGACATCTGTACAGACATGGAATAAAGTTCTTCGCTTGACAGATCGATATTATGCAGGCGAGCGAAATAAGAGAAATACGAATTTACATTTGACATGCTACTGTGCATCTTGAAATTATTTATGTCAATTCTTTGCTCTATCCAAACAGTTTGTTTTTAATATATTATTTTTTGCTTCGTTTCTCTCCATCTTTTTCTCTTATGTTAGAAAGAGAGAGAATCTATACGAATATCTATATATCAATATATATATATATGCTACATTAATTAATTTTGTCATTAGATTATATACGAAACGTGCAACGCGATCGCGAGACATTTGAGAAGTTTCGTCGCGTATAATATTGTGCAGTAATATTGTGCGGTTTTGGGGGAATATATGTATATTCAGCGCAAACCACTCTACACTATGGTAGTTATTATTCGATCGGTTAATTGGGTACACGTTGGACGTTATCGTAATGCTGTTTCTTTCAATTGGATATTTATTTCGTTACATGTCAGGCGACGTGTCTGTTATAGTTTTTGAAAATTTTACTAAATTTTATCTTTTATATAACAACGAAATATTTAATTTTTTTTTCTTTTGATTAAATGTTTCTCTTCAGGATAAATCTAATTGCCTACGCCTGTTGAAATTTTCTTCGTATAATTTTGTTGTATTAAAATAAAACAAATGTACATTTCATTGACAAGTGCAGAATATGATTATAACACACGAAACACATTTATATACATATATGCATTAGAGTGTTTAATTAAACAAATGTTGTAAACTAAAACAAGAAAATACGAAAAAATTTTTTGTCTTTAAAATAAAATAGCGGTATTAATAATACTCTTGTTCTATTATATACAACAGTCTATAAGCCTCTTCTCATTTTAATTATACTAATATCTAACTATATAGCTAATTCTGATAGATTACTCGCTGCTTTAAATTTCGAAATATTTTCCAACTAAAATCTTATACTAATTTTCTCTTCTTTTTCTCTGTTTATTTTATATATATATATATATTTTGTATATAATATTTCTTTTACAATCGTTTTTGTCAACAAAATTTATCGACATTCTCCCTCAAAAAATTGATTTCGGGCTATTCTAAAATACACATTTTTTCCTCTAATTGTAAGCCATCTTACGACAACGCTACCAGACTTTAGGAACTTTCATATTATTCTATCTTGAATATTCTGAAAAAAAATGCATTGTGTCAGACTGTATGCCACATATCGAGAACGCACTCGAAATTATTTTATTTCTTTTGTCAGAGCCTGGTAACACTGGATCTAATCGTAAGCAAAAAGTATCATATGCAATATGATAATAACACTTTGTCATATATTAGAACCTAAAATATATTCTTTTAGAGGCATTTCATATATATAACTTTAATAGTATAAATATAAAACTTTCACTGAGTCAAAAAGTTATATGTATATATAATTATCCTTATTAATTCAAAGTATCCAAGTATTCTTCTATTGCATTTTCTTTGCACCAAAAGGCCCTCCCATATTTCGTTACGACAAATTATACTTGGACACAACGAACTACGATATAAGGAACAATGAGATCTCTCAACCAGCTTGCTCGCGTATACTCTTGACAATATGCATATATCGAATAAAACATTGAGATCGGTACAGAAAATATAACAGTATGTCTCGAGTATTATTCATTCCTTTACAACTAGCTAACATTCGAAGAATATTATAGATCGTGCTTGAAAGTTTAAGAATTCCAAAATCGGAATGTACACGTCGCCTAAAATAGGATAAACTCCCATTTTATCGATCGGAGAAATGTTTATCACATTTGTAACGATTCCTCCAAGTTGTCTATGTTGCTATATCTCATGTTATATTCAATTATTTATATTTTTATTTCTGATTTATTATATTTTTATATCTTCAACGCTCTAGTGATTATTTCAGTAAAGCATTTATTTTTAACAAAGTATATTAAAAAATAATCGTGTGGCAAACAAAATTGAAATATTTTCTCGAAAAGAATATTATTTCGTCTATGAAAAATAAAAAGTAATTTTTAAAAAGCTTGTTAAATCTATTGTCTAGTGTCTAAAATTATTTATTTAAGAGGCCAAGCATTCTTTATTGCGCGAATAAAATAAATTGATTCTTTCACATAATGTGACTCAGTTACATGCATTAGAATGTATCATAAGTTGAAAAAAAATTTAGAGAAAAAATATTTTTGGCTTATGTGTGGGGCGTTATGTAATTTAAAAAAATATTATTTTCTTTTAAATAATTATTCCCACTTATTCACTGAAATATTTTTCCTTATTGGTAGTGCCGTTGAAGATGTACGACCCAAGTCGTTTTACGTGAAATATTCTGTTCATAATCGTTATTAAGAAGTTACACACGCGTTTATGCATGCATGTATCGAAATTTAATTAACACAATAGTAGACAATAAATCATTAACTTTTTCTCTCTCTTTCTTCCCATTCAAAACTAGCGCTTTATTTGTGCTATAAGTACGCGGTATGCTTACTACTGTGCTCAAGAGCAGCAAGAACGTCTTGTTTCTGTCTGACATATAGTCGTCCCTTTTTCCATGGATTTTGCAATTGAAGCGGCTTAAAATCGTCCCTTAAGCAACGTTCCCGCGCACCGATTACGGCAACTAAGCAGAAATTTGGTAGCTCATCGATCGTATAGGTAGGCCCATTTTGACCTTTTAGAACCACCGCCATGTTTAACTGTTTAACAACAAGTTCCACAACTTCGCGTGCTGTAGTCCTTGGTGTTACGTGTAATTTCAAACTGGTGCCAGCTGCTAAGCCAGTCTCGTAGGCCGCGTAAACCTGTAATACAATATTACAAGATACATTTCTTGTATTTTTTTCTTCTAATAATATACAAATTGACATGATAGAGAAAAAGAATTAATAATTAACAGATGCAACAATCCCGAATAAAGAGTGTGTATCTGTAAATGCATTCGTAATTTAAACAGTAAAATCATTTAAACAGTAAAATTGTTCGATTATATAAAATGTCATATAAATATCAAGGTATAAGCTACGTATGTGATACATGGCGTGTCTGAAAGATTTTGGTACCAAGTGAAAAAAATATACAAATGCTATAAAAAGATACTTAAAATTTATTGAATATCTTTTTCATAAGATTGATACTTTTTACAATTCATTCAGTTTCCCAATATTATAGACACACCTTGTATTTAGAGGCACATTAAAAAATGCTATATATTCAAGCTGTAACAATAATGATATAAAACACGATATGACATAGAGAATATCATATATATTCTTAATATTATACAACTCGTATTTTTGTGCAATATTCTTTTACGCGACGTATACTATTGCAACACACTACATACAGATATAATTGATCTCCAAGTAGCTATTGAAAAGTATAAAACAGTCATAATGAATCCTTCATGCCGCACTGATTTTGGCACACTAAGCATAATATTTAAGCATAACCGAGCAGAGCAAGCGTTGAAATTTGGCGCCTTACTCAATATGTCCGCTACATCGGTTTGCACTAGAGGACCAAGCGAGCAGTTTTTAATTATAATCGGGTTAGACTTGTGTTCCCTAGGAAGGAGAAATATCATTTATAAATCGCACGAGTGTGCAGAGAAATATTAATGTTGCTGAAAATTAAACGTTGCACCTATGCTAAATACGCTTATGTAGAATTTCTCATCGACAGTCTGAGATATGAAAGAATTGAGAAAACCTACTTGAAGAATGCCTGGCAGAGGTGCCGGCATCATTGTCGCCTCCTCCTTCTCCTCGTCTAAATTATCCTGTGGAACGGTGGCCATCGCCGCGACGCTCGCAGTCGGTTTGGACGTTTTAACTTTGACCGAATGACCGGCTTTCAAGCAGACGCTCGAGTTCGTCGTAGAGTTGTCCTCGCTGCTCAACGAATGTAGACTGTCGGAATTGGTGTTGCTCACAGATACGCTAAGCAGACTCGTGGTGTTTGTCATCGCCGTGGAGACACTCAATAGCGAGCCGCCGTAAAGGATGGGCTTAATGCTCATTAGCGGACTAGTGCTGGCTGATGCCGAAGTAGTTATCGTGGCGGAGCGATTTCGCGGGCTATGTTTGTACTTGGTGAGGATTAGAGTGTCCTCGGACTTGGAGGGCGGCAGCCGCGTATTTTGCAGCGGCATCAGATGATTGGTGCTGCTCGCGGTCAGATTGCTTAGATTGCTGTTGCTGCTCATCGGCACGCACAATGATTTCTGCGGTTCCGACGTCGTCGAGGCATTCGAGGTGTTGCTACCCTTGCGTACGTATTGTCCGCTGGGCAGCTGTTGTTCGCTCTTGCTGAATTCCGTTGTGAGAAGATTCGAAGCGGAATTGGATAGATTCGGTCCCGGCCAGCTACCTCGGCCGGGGCTCGATTTAACGAGCTTAGGATCTCTAGGTGGTAATTGTAACAAACTTCGCTTTAGACTATTATTGTTGCTGGCGTTGTTCTTGTTTCTGTCTAAACTGAGCAGATGCTTCATGGATATGCCAACGGTTTGCGACGCAATCTGCGAAAAAGTATTAAATAGCAAATTAATACTAACGGCAAATGATAATCGAGATGCAAATTTATGAAAGTATCGATAATTACGTTTTGTTGAGAGGAGCCGCGATCTCTCGCGAAAGTTATAACGTCGATTAGCCACCTGGCACCCTTCCATACCGTGTTCATTTGCGACTGGAGGTCTTGCAATCTCGCCAGTTTATCCTTCGCAACGCTCAACTCTAACGAGCTGAAGGCCTCTCTGTGATTATGCTGGGCCTGTGCCGTGTCCAGTTCCAAGATGCAGCTGAGCCTCGAGTAACGATTGATCACGTCTTTTTGATACGTGTTCAGGTGCACCATCTCAAAGACCTGAATGGGCAACGACAGGAGATCACCGCGTTGTAATAGGATCTCCCGCGTCCCTGGCACGCAACAAGCGGTTTCGGCGGGTGGCACGGTGATGAGAAACGATACGTCGTACGTCAGCTCGATCACCTCGGCGTCGTAAAGTCGATGTACCAAGGAATCCTCCGGACTGATCTCCATATAATTGAACAGTCGTCGTGCCGTCGCGGCGACCAGATCGACGAACAACTTTTGCTGCTCCGTGCCTTGAGCCTCGTTCGTCACGTTCTCCTTCTCTTCGGACTCCTTCACGGAAGAATCGGACATGCAGATGCGCGTTACTCTTTTCAGGTAGTCCCACTCGTCCCTTAACAGAAAATACAATAGGTAATTGCGACGCGCGACCGCGGTGCTTTCCCTTTCGAGATAAGAATATGCTTACGCGGATACGTGTGGATTATCGCGAATCTTGCAGTGCGGCAACACATTCGGAGATTTCGTCGGGACGACGACCTGTATGAGATCCACGCTGCTCTGCATCTTTAGATAACCGAGGTATAATCCTTTGGACAATTTGATACTGCTGACTTGATGATATGTTATTTGTTCTTGTATACTGGCCATCAAGATATCGGCAACGTTACTATCCTCGTGCGTTATGACTTTCTTTATGACTTTGCTGAGCGGTAACCATCGGCTGTTTAATACGGAAATCAGTTTTGCTGATTTTATGTAATTCACCGTCGAAAATACCAAAGTGCCTTGAATGTCTCTGACAGGTTTGTGATATAATTGCCCAAGATCTTGTATGCACAGCGCAGCCTACAACGCGCATCGAAACGTTATAGAATATTTTTGATATTTTAATCGAATTACAGTGAATTTTAATAATATATTAATATACTGTACCTGCATCTGAGCAGCAGCTTGAAGCAACTTTATTCTAAAGTGATTCGTCGAACTGCTGTGACTCTTTTCCATGTCTTGTCGGAGGGATTTAACGTCGTCCCAGGTGCAGGCGACTTTCATTAGCCAATGAAAATCGTTATAAATACAACTGGGATACGTCTCGTCGATTTCGATTACGGGTAAGAAGTCCTCGTTGGTAACGAGGACTTTGTCTTCGTGGTAGAGCAGACACGCGAGAAATACTCCTCGCCTGAGATTCTTTTGGAATTTACTCGTCGCTGTGAAGAGTTGTTTTATCGTCGTCTTCTTTTTGTGATTTCGCCTCTGTACCGCCGGTGTCTCTTGCGTGTACTCTGGTCGTCTTATATCGGTGAAGAGCGTATTTAATTGTTCTAATCGTCCCGCGAACCTCGGCACTCTGCCATCTATGTCCCTCCAACCTTTAAGAATCGTCATAAATATATGTAAAATCAAATATATGCGCCCTAGGATACAATGATAAATTGAGTCAATGTATTTGTACCAAGTGTCGGTGCGACAATAACGTAAATTTTACTTACTGCTAGGTGTAACATGCGCAGGTGTCGAATTCCTAAATCTGCTGTAGCCCTTCAAATTTCCAGCAGCAGCGCGAAAATAATATTTTTGACCCTGAGTTAGATCCTCGATACGACATTCTCTCTGCTTCATGTCCAAGACTTCCCTCTCGTCGCAAATAACAGAAAAGTCATCGTGCAAACTCCACTGAACCTTAAACTTGGTGCAAATCGGAGAATCGTGCGAGTCTGGTTCCTGAAACCTGATTGTTACCGAAGTCGTTCCGGTAACATCGATCGCAACCAGAAACGGCATGTCGGGGGGTCCTAAGATATCCAAAATGACACATTTATATTATACCTAATTGGAGCAAAAATATTTCTTACAAATTTATTATATACTACTGCAATACCTTTTGCAGATTTAAATTAAATGTCTCAAACTCACGCGCTTGGTCGAAACCCAATAACATTTTTCTGAGGGCCCTGGCTCTTCTTTCCCATAGGGCAAGCTGCTTGTCTTCCGTACTGCCGCTGCATCCCGTGAGATTATTATGTTGCGCGGAAAAACTAGCCCTGTGGATGCTCGGTGGCTCCAATAAAGTCGCACTGCTGCCGGAAGTACCGCCGCCGAGTTCTTGAACTCTGTGTTCCGCTTCCGAGAGTAATGACGCCAAATGACTTCCCAAGGACTCCGGAGACTTAACTGCGTCAATAAAATTAATGATCATGTGCAAAACAGCACTTAAAATTAAATAGTCGGATCAAATTTAATCAAATGTAAGCATATTTTAAAATCGATGCATTATCAATGTATGTTTCTTGAAGCAAGGAAAAGTGTCACGTATATAGATATTTAAATCGAGTTTGTCACGTTTTAACGATAATTATTGTCGCAATAATATATTGTTTCTCGCGTAATTATTACGCGTTAATTAAAATATTGACATTGCAATCGATCATTGCAATATCATCGCAGTATCTTGCTGCAGTATGCGATCTTGATGCAAGATCATACGACTTTGCCACGATTAATTGGGAGTCCAGTTACAACTATAATTACTTTTCAGCATAAAGCAGACAGTGCAGAAATTAATGAAAAGGAGATGCACGGGAATTGCATCGCTTAGAGTAATACATTTACTGCTTCGCGCGTATTAAACGTTAGCCGAGTTAAATTTTATCCTCTCCCGATTTGCAAGAATTCGTCACGGATATTTCTGAAATTAATTTGGAAGAAGAGTATCCTTATTTCTACTCTATATTTCATTTCTCAAAAGGACTTGGTCTGCTAATGATGCGTCATCGTACTGAAACGCTAACGAGCGTAACGGGACAAATTAAGAGATGAAACTTTCACAAAGATGAAGATCGAGTTGCTGATTTAATAACGTGAGATTTCCCTTGGGATCTCACTTGGCATATACAAAATTTATTTTCATCAACTTTTATCCTTTTAAAGTATTTTATCCTTTTTCTCAAAATCATAAAACGATAACCGAGTGATGCTTATGATGCAGTAAATCTACGACACATTCTCAAATATTTATACCTCTAATGGGGTCTGCAAATTTATTGATTTTTCAGACATATCGCACAAGTCTTATTGTTGCAATTTGATATAAAAACCGAATAAAAAAGCTTTGGGATTTATCGCATGTAGTTTTATCATGCGCGTGGGATATTCAATAAAAGCGTATTTTTATTCGTATTTATAGTCTGTATCTTTGCATTTACGGTTCATACGTATGTTTAGCTTAATGGAGCACACGGAAGTGTGCGTTGAAAAATGTTTAGACGCTACTACAGATTTTGCAATTACACGTTCCATCGTAATTACGCTGCACTTCGATATATCGGATAAAGAGGGACGTTATTAAAAACGTTACGAAAAAAGTGCTGTCTCCAGCTTCCGCTTTTTTTTTATACATCTTGTTCTTTATTTTTATTCGTTGCAACGCAATAAAGCTCGACGGCATTTTTATTAGAGACTACGGAATCGTAATTGGAATCGCCCGCGACCCGATGATTTTCTTGAGCTTTTTTTTCGCGCGGTAAAGGCCAACCGTTTCGCGGGAAAGCGGAAAAGCGATTTTTCGCGAAGCTTCGGATCAACGGGATTCGTCACGATTCGTCGTTCGTAACGAAGTTCGCGCTATGCGGCGTGAAATTTGTAATTGGATTCGATTGTACTTACATTGATTTCCTTCCTGCGCACCGAACGCAACCAGCATTTTTGCCAGCGGCCTGTTGTTGCTAAGTACAGCAACATCCAGTGGTGACAAGCCGTCGCTATTAACGCTGCAAATAAAACCGTAAATAATAATAGTAATACTTATTTTTAGATTTCTATTAAAAAAGGATAGATTAAAATTTATAGCGCTGAAAATTTATAGCGCTCGAGATAATTTTAGAATTTTCCGCCAATTTCTTTTTTTTTTACATTTTATCTTAAGCAAAGCCCGTGTTGTTTCATAATTTTAAACGGCATTGCATACAATATTAAGCACGTAACTTTATTTCAACTTTGCATCGCGTACTATTCACGGTAAATCTAATATTAAAAATAAAATTGAAAAGTAGTTGCATAATTTCCACTTTGCATCACGTTAAAGCGAGATTTTCGTAGAATAAAATAGCTTTATAAAACTTTTGGTAACGTTTATAAGGCGTTAGAAGACCGATAAAGAATAAAATGTACGCGAGCTTCCTCTCTTCCTGAATTATAAATCGATGTCATGATATCTCGCTTTTTTTCTCTCTATATATATTTACTTGGCAATTCGGCCCGTTATTTGCTTCATCCAAACGGAAAATATTCGCTTTAGCCAAGCGGAAAATCGTCGGACTAATGAGATTTATTTTAAAACATTAAATTATTCTCGTCTACTTTGCTTCGAATTACTTGTAAGCGTAAAGGAGAAAAAAATAAATATATTAACGTTATAAGGTAAAATAAATGTCAATTAAATGAATTTCAGTAATAAATTACTTGTATAACCTTTTCTGCTGCTCACTGCTCATTGATTATTTTAATTTTGTAAACATTTTTCTATTAACTTTTGTTTGTACCGGATATTTTTAAATAAAGGACAAATTGGATTTATCATATGCAAAGGAATCGACTGTAATAAAATTTATTCTTAGATTTTTGGATCTCTAGTATAAATTATTGTTAAATATTACGCGTAAAGTATTAATGTGCTATACAAAATACATATTACATAATAGCGCCACAGGCAACGCTATGAACACACGATATATGGTAAGCGACAAATCCGTCGACAATTGTTCGCCGGAAATAGAAGTAAACGACAATTTTCCGCAATTATCACACGCGACTAGTTATGAAAAACTTTTAAAAGCTTTAAAGCGCAACGAGGAGCACGCGTCGCCCGTCAGATTAAAGAGGTTCCTGCTAATTTGCGACACATTTTCATTCACAGACAACAGTGTAATTTAACACGTTTTAGATTGACAACTTAATTAAACTAATAAAAAACTGCTAGCTTTCAGACCTGATAGAAAAATAATTATGCGCGTTGTGAGAAGTGATTAAAATAAAAAGAAATGTTTTGTTTCATTCATCAAAAAATTACATAATGATTTTCTCTTTTTCTTTGAATTTCCCTTGGATCATAGATTACTTATAGATTACTAATGCGCCAAAAAAGTACATAAATGCAACAATTACTTTTGCTATATCTTGTCTATAATTCAAGGTGACCTGGATCTCTCGAGATCAACCAAGATTCATGTCGAATTGAATCGAAATGTTAGTTCTATGCTAGTTGAACAATTTCCTAATGGCGCGATTGACCGGTGCGCTTGAAAACTTTCAACCCGTATATTCGATTAAAACTCCTTGAAGAAATGTGCACCTCAAGTAAACGGCTTCTAGGTCGCGCGTGTGCTTCTTTGAAGGTAAATAGAATCGACTGAATTCTTTTTGACTGTCGCAAGGTATTTTACAAGTCTTTAACTTTTGTACATCGATATAAAAACTAAATATTTAATTATTTAAAATAAGAATACTTAATTATTTTCGGGCGACTTTAATAATTTACGTATCTAGATTTTTCAATAATATAATTAAATATTTACGTGTCGGATAAAATCGTGTCATTTGCATTAGAAATAATAGTTTCTTTTTTTCTTTCATTTTTTAAGATTAATTAATTACTTTGAGTAAAATTTGTATATTTACTGCTATAAATAAACTCACCTATTTACATCTACATCGGTAGACTCCAAAATAGTCCTCGCCTTATCCAAATGGCCATGTTCCACAGCCGCAAATAGAGCTAAAAATAAAAAAACGATAATGATTTCAATTATCCATTGTAAGTAAATTTGCTAAGACAAAACAAGTTTGATGAAAATGAAGAGAAATATAAATAGAAAATAAAAAATTATAAAAAGAACAAAAATACCATGCAAGTGTATGTTGAGGGATTGTGCCGAGAGAGGATTTATATGTATCGACGACAGATTATTTAAATGTTGGGGCTGTTGTTTCTTCTTGCCGAAACCCTCCAGGAACTCCATCCCTTGCAACGAATGTAACTCTGTGCGAATGTAAAAAAAAAATAATATGGATTAAATAAATAATATGAATTAACTAAAATTATCAAAAATATTATATATTGTAAATGCAGGTAAATAAACGAATAGAAATATAAAATTAACAAGGTAATAAAATTTAAGAGAGAAAATAAAAAATCACGAAAAAGATTTCTTATATGTGATTTATCAGATTTATTTTTCTATCTTTCACTTTTGTCGGACAAGAGTATATATGATTAACATTGGTTATTTATACTAAATAAATATTTTATTTATTTGATACAATTCTTTCAGTAGACATGGAAAAATAAAAGTTTCATATTGAGTTTCTAAGAAAAGAAAATAAAATGCAATAATGCAATTTGAAAAATGAAAGGCTGCGCATAATTTCTGTCTTGAAATATTATGCGCGCAGAATATTATTGCGATTGGTTTGTACGTTTTACTCGAGCCACTTTCACGACTAGAAATTTTCTCACATAATAATGCTTCTTTATCATCTGATTTCACGATAAACAAACTTTCTTTCTACAACTTTCCAGTTATTAATTTATTTAATGCGAAAATATGCTAGTAAAAGTGATCAATCTACGTTCTTTTTTCTAGTAATGTTGATTCCTTAAGGAATGGGTCTGGTTAAATAATCGATAATTTAGCGAGTTGCGAAAATTCGGGCTAATTTCCTAGGAACTGTTTAATTGCGACTCATGTGCCATTGATTAATTAGAAAACTTATTGATCCAGCGTACTTGATCCCGATGATGTCGACACGAGAACTCGCTCCTGACCGATCCGCTCGTAATCCTTCGTTTCTTTCACATCCCTTTTATCAGTCGTCATTTTGCTTCGAAAACTATTGCCACGTCTGCTCACCCAAAAGTTGGTAAAGTTATCGACCGTCCTGATTTTGCAAGATTTCGAAGGACAGGTCTTGACATTGTCAAAGAATTTTTGATCTTGTAGATAGTTTGACGCATTTTTCCTCGTTGTCTCGTGTACCTTACTGTAAAATTTAATCCTCGAACGATCAAATCCGCCGAAGGATTCAGTAATCCTTCGGGTCCCGTTTATTGCATTCGCTTGGGAATCCTTGTTTCTTCCTTCGCAGAAACATCTCAAAGGATCGGTCTCGCATCTGGATCGAAATGCATTCTGTGACTCTTCAAGAGACTTTTCATCGTCGTATCCATCTCGCTCATAATTAATTTTGTGATCGAATGGCTCGTTAATTGCGGCTTTATGAGAATCCACGACGACGGTCAAGATGTCACGTTCGCAGGACACGGGACGTTCGCTTTTATCTTGCCGTTGCTCTTCCTCCTTTTCTTCCTCTTCATAAAGAAAGCTCGAAACGGAGGAGTCCAAGGAAGTATCTAATACGAACGTTGGATTCTCATAAAATACATTTTTACTCGATTGATGTATATCCTCACAGGACACGCTACAGTTTTTTTCTCGAGTATCGTCCTGAGAATTTTCTACGCTGCGTTTCTTGCGAAAAATGCGAATAACCTTTGGTGATTTTACGCTCTCGTTTTTCGCGGAAGGTTTTTCCGTGTCCTTGCGGCCTTTACGCATGATTTTGTCGGTCAAGGATAATTTGCTCTTCAGATCCTTGGTGATTTCTCGCGAATCGATATCGTTTGACGACACTGACATTTTTCGAGGATTCGAGAATGTCTCGTTTTCACCGGATTTGTCGACGGTGCGGGAACTCGCATCCTTCTTCCGTAGGTTCAAGGATCTTTCAGAGTCCCGAGGTTCTTCAATGACATAGAGGTTGCGTTCCTTCTTGGGATCTTTCGAGATAGACGACAGGTCGAAGCCGGTGGTCAATCGCAAGTTGGCGTGATTGCGTATCTTCGACATCAGTTTCACGGATGCCCGAAAGGATCTCGACCTCTTCAAGGTCGATATCCTATCGTTCGAGGAACGTCTCGAAAGTAATTCCATCTTCGGGCTGGATAAGGAGGATTTGCGAAATTTCATTTGGAGATCGGTCGTGACGATTTCACTTGATATATCTCAATGTTTCGTCGAAATAGTTGATTTTTTCGAGAGTATCAAAATTCTCGAAGAATATTTTCGATGCAACAAGATTCGTTCCTTTCGACGTATTGCTTGTTTCATAAATTAACGATAGCAATTACAGTATTACTACTGTCGATAAGGTACTTCGTATTGCTTTTCTTTGGTAAAACTTTAAAGTTTGCGGTTCTTCGTAGATCCTTAAAGCAATTCTTTGGTTGGGTAAAACTGGAAAAGGTCAATAGCTTGTCATTTGCTTGATACTCTTAACATATGGCATACATCTTTCTCTCTCTCGAACTGCATGACGAGAATCATGTTATATTTTAGTCATTATACTTTAAAGACACTTAAAGACACTTTTTTCAATTGTTGATTTTTTTAATGATGATGATTAATTTCTAAATCCATGATTAATTCACAATTTATCGACTTTTCGTTCTGGCTGGCAAATTCTGATCGGCTTGTCTATTTCGTATTAACAACCAAATATTTACATGTAAAATGAAAAGTGAGAAAATGGTAAGCGGTAAAAAGATATTAACACGAGTGCTGCGATGCAACGCCACGTAGATGCAACATGATCGTCTTCGAAACGATTTTATTGTTTACTTGGGACATGCACTCACTCGGGCGATTCCGTCGCGCGACAATTGGCTATTATGAAGAAGTGGCCCGAACATCGTCTCTTCCTTCTCGGAGTGGACAATTTACCAGCCCAATCAAATTTATTGCTGTCGTCCGTTAGTCGTTAAGATCTTGATGATGGTAAATAGTACGCTCCAAGATCATTGACAAGATCGCTCGTACAATGTCTACCAGCATCAAACATCTATTACAAATGAGGCGATTCTTCTCAACGACAAGCAGCGAGTTTTCGTCAATTTTTTGCATCGCGTATAACTATGTTTGAAAAAGGCAAAATTATTTTGGTAGCGATCGCAAAAAAATGTTAAAATTTAAACGTTAAAATTTTATCTTTACTTGAAAATTTGTAGGAAAAGCGTTGTACTTTGTGTTGTATCGAGCTTAGCTTATCTTTGAAATTTATCAGCTATTATTCAGAGTAATGATCGGCTAAAATATTCTTTTATATGCCGTACCAGCCTGTTTCTCGCGAAAGCGTGGACGTTCAAGCGTGCTCGAACCGATAGGAAGGGGCAAAAGTGGTCGCTTGCAATACAGATTGGAGCTCATTAGATCTTAACAAGGGAATTACTGTTCGACGGGATGATAATAGGGTAATTATGTCCAGAGTTAAATGAATTGTTAGAATTCGACCTGATGTGGGGACTCGTTTTTTGATTTCCCGATAAGTAATTTTAAATCCGAATCGAGCACATACAATTTAAAAAAGCATAAGATAGAAAAAAGAGAAGAAGGATATCCGCAAGAGGACATTCTCTTTTTCGTCTCATTAATCATTCTGACGTCTCTTTCCTCTCTCGTTTTTTATATGATATTTCACGTCTTCTCCAGTACTTTTGCATAAATCGTACGATTTTTATCACGATAAATTGATCTCTTCATTGAAATTATTAATCCTAAATTCCTTTTAAAAACGAAATGATTCGTGACTTGATACATTTTCCTACATCACAAATGACTGTTTACTCCTTCGGACTTTGTCCTCGTTATCTGCGCGCGTTTTGATAAACGACTATCTACTTCCTTTCCAGTAAAGAATCGTGATTATTTAAAGTCGTATTTTTATTCTGAAAGGCACATGTCAATTCTGAAAAATTTTCATCTTCACTTTTTTTATGTCACTTTTTGCTATTATTGTTGCTAAAGTTAAATCTAATCAAACTCATGTGCGGATCGAGAAGAATTTTTCTAATACAGAAAAAAAGATAGATGATGGCAAAAGAGATTTTTTTAAAAGATACATTAGCAATCTTTTTATTTTGCGTGCAAGAAAGAGCCTCTATAAACATGACATGGAGAAGCCGCGGATGTATCTTAATTGACGTTGTTCTCGGGTGGAACTTTAAGCAACAATTGCTGTCGTTGTAAGATCTCTGAAACGCGAACGTATCGTTTATGATTATGCAATACTCTCGTGCTGTTGCCGCGGGAGGCCAACCTCGCAAGGACACGCGTACATGTCCGTTCACCGTTCGCCATCCGAATACCATTGATGGCAAACCGACCGAGATTGAAGTTCCGCCAGAACCTCTCTCGTCATGCCTTTCGAGAAGAAAAATTGTCGTGTATCGACTACCTGGCTATCACAGAGCAAATTCCAATTCAGCTGGACCGTTTCTAGGCAGCTAGACGTTGTAAATCACATTTCCACACGAAAATAGAGTCGCTTTTCGTCGTTGGTCCCATCAAATTTCCTGGGATCTTCATCCAATCATCATTACGATACATCATTGCGGGATAAATATTCATGACTAAAATACGATAGAATCCATGTGTCCTGCTTCTCTTCAAGTTGCTTTATCGTTGCCATCTCTCGCCTACGTTAAATTTCTTGATTCACGGTGCTCGGCATTTCTTCCATTATTATCGTTATCGCGAGAGAAATGTTTTCAGTACGTTATTTCAATGTTGGAGTGAAAATTGTCGAATTTTTCCTATGTACACACACGATGAAATCGGAGTTAAACGTCTGACACGTGACGAAACGTCGTGCGCAGGGTCGGGATCGATTTTTGGAGATTTACCAACGGATGGGTAGCTTCGAAACGCGTCGCTCACGTGCGCGCGCACTTTTTCACCGTTGCTGCTTTACACGCTGCCTTCGCTCAAGTTCAGCCCGAGACTCGAGTCGAATGAGGCGTCGAAAAGATGGATTTTCTCAGTGGTAACGGCTGTTTTACGGATCCTCGCACGGCTCGACGATTCTCCTTTCTCCTTTCTCGCACTTGCGATGCAAATTTTTATTTATGAAAATTTTCGAGCGATCGAATCACTCGGACAGTCTCCTATCTTCCATGAGCTGTGAGCGCCACCGATGTGGCATTACTGGCGGGTACACATACCAACGCGACCCCCCGATCCGTTCCATGGCGAGCAAACAGCTGCCCCCATGTCTGGTCCCCTCCATCAACCGGTCGTCACATTGCGTAGCTTCGGTGAGAGAGAGAGAATGAGAGAGAGAGAGAGAAAGAGAGAGATTGCCCAGCCTTTTGGCACTGACGAGTGTCTTGCACGAGCCAATTTGTCTCTGCCTTTCCAATTAGGCCAAATAGACAATCTATAATCTTTGTTGTGGATATTGTAGAGAATAAAGCAAATGATTCGTCTCATTATTGTCGAAAAGAAAGGACACATTTTGATAGAGTTGTTTATATAATAACGATAATTATTTTAATTCGTCAATTAGTAATTACAATCAAATATGTATTTTTTCATATCAATAAAGACATAATTATTACGAATCTTTTGATGCAAAATGTTTACAAGATTTTATTATTATCTGAATATAAGAATAATATACATCTAATATATACAGAAAAAATGGACATTCTTGTTTTGAAAATATATTTTTAACATGGAAATCTTGAAATGAGATTATATTGCGTTAATTAAAGAAAAATATAATTGCTTGAATAATTGCTTGAATGAAACTATTTTATATAGTTCAATCGAGAAAAATATATTCTTATGATTTAAGATTTAATTTTCTCGAGTGGAAAAGAAACAATGTTAGATAGAAAATAACATTTTGAAATCAAAGATTATAATTTTCTTAAAGTAGAATTAAATAATTATAAAGTAGAATTAAATAATTAAATAGTCTTGAGGTGACAATTACAATATTCAAATAAGACTATAATATTGTTGAAATTTAAGATTATTAAATTCTTCTAAGAAGATTATAAATTATTGCGTATATACGAAACAATGAACGCGTTAATTTAAGTATATAAGTTTTGATTTGATACTTTTTTCTGTGTACTTTTGAAATGTATTTTTGAAAATTTGGAAATCTTTCTTAGACGCGAGAGTATCGAAGAAGCATATCAATAAGTTGCGTCGAAAAAAAAGAATCGAACAAATTAAAATTTAATGTTACATAAATTCATCGTTCTAATTACATATTGACGCTAATCTGGGTAAACATTAAGATTTTTTATTTTATTATTAGCATAAGTTACATTATACATTTCAAATTTTTTTTCGCTTAATTTACTATTTTATTCGATGATCGAAAATATTAAAATAGATGTGTTACGTATTCATTATGGAGCGTATGAGGCTAACATGGAATTTGGCAATGCGCACAGTTGCATGAGTTAACTCTTCCGTTCTAATTTCATTCGTGATATTACCTCAATGTTTGCCCAGATTGACGTCAATGCTTAATTAGAGCGATGAATTTGTGTCTAACCCATTGGACTTTAATTCATTCCATTCTTTCTTTTCGGCACAACTTATTGATGCATTCCTTTGATACGCGTTTAAGAAAGATTATTTCCAAATTTTCAAAAAATATATGTATATATTATTCTTATATTCGAACAATAATCAAATCTTGTAAATATTCTACATCGGTTTCAAGGTTCATAATAATTATATCTTTATCGATATCAAAGGAAATAAATATTTAATATGTAATTGCTAATTACTGACGAATTAGAATAATTATCATCAAGTTAATATCCGCATGCGCGCATATATCATTGAATAATTTAATGCTATTTGGTACGTATTAGTATTAATCCACATTGAAATATTTCGAGATTATTACAGCGAATCTGCTACTCTTGAAATTTTCATCACATTCGACGAATTCATATCTTTTTCCTTCTGTATAATTTTCCTCCTTGTATAATTTTCCTATTTTGTTTACGTCATTAAGCAATTGGTTAGATGATGTTTTTAGCAACTATCAATCGAGAATATTTTGATGCACCTCAAATAATAAAATTATAAACACTCAATGTGCTATATAAAACGACAAAAAATTTAATACAAACGAAATTTAAAAATTTAATAATTAACGATAAAAAAAATTTCAACGTCATTTCAAAAACGTGGTATCTTTTTGTAGCACATGAATGATATGTTAAATATCCGCAATCTCATTAAATTTAACTCTCTGTAAGGCCCTTCTCTTTCTTCTTCCTCTTTTTATTATTACGTTTAACGAATCGTATTGCATTTATTAATCGTATATGGATAAAAGACCTGATTTGCATTTTCATGCAAAACCGGTTTGATATGCCACACTTGCTGTTCTTTTAACAAGGATAAATACAATACATGTAGAAAAGCAAAGCTTGGTTAGATATCTTGATCATTTAGGTAAAAAAGAGATTATATCATTCCTTAGAACATGTTTCCATTGGAAATCAGATTTTTCGGAACAGCACAATGCACACCTATTCATGGAACGTAACATAAATTATGAAAATGTCGAACATTTCTCTGAATAGTTGATTTATTTTTACCTGCGAAAAGGCCACCTACTCTGAGCTAATAAAAATAATAGGAAAACGGTGGAAATTTGTTGACAACATTCAAATTTACATTTAATATAAATAAACGTGAGTTTTAATAACAATAATATTGGCACGCATTAATAATTAATATTAATATCGAGAAATATTTATTATTATTTTTCTAAAAATAAATTTTATATTGTTGCTATACGCTTTCAGTTTGTTAATAAAAGAATGAATCGTTGCAAAAATAAAATAAAAAATGCCGAAAAGTTTATTAGCAGTTGCAGAGTGAAACTTTCTTAGGAAGTTTAACTATTATACTCTGCGAGAATTTAATTTTTACTCTGAGGCTACGCGATAACAATGCACAGAGTTTTGTTCGCATGAAACGAGTCGTAACGAGGAAAGGCACGAAACATTTTTATTCCATTTAGAGGGAGGATGCATTCACCTCTGTTAATTTGGCCTTGCATCACGAGAAATCAGTTTAATAGCGTGATCAAGTAATTTATTGCTAATTTGTTTTTCTAGTCTCAAATTTATGGCTTCAATTAGTAGACAACTGATATTAAAAATGAGATATTATTGATTTATTATCGTCACTAAAAATATTTATAACGAAAAGTAAATTATATTAATGCAATTAATAATTTTATATATATATATATATATAATAATTTTATATATATATTCTATATTTTTATTATATATATATATATATATATATATATCGTTTAATTTATTACAAAATATAATGTAGAAATTTTAACTGCTGCATTGTTACAAATTATCCTCCTTACGTACTGATATTTGTAATATTCACAAATCCGTTACCTTGAGGGGGATTAAAATAAAATAATACAACACTTACCAAAACGATGCGTAATAGAGTTGTAGAACACAATATTAATCTGTAAAATACAAATATGCTTAAATTATATAATATGTAATGTTCAAAATAATTAATATTTCTCAAAAATAAAATTATTGCACATAATTAAATTTTATTCATTTTTATTCATTTTTTAAACAAATATATAATACAAAAATGAAATACTTTTCAAAAAAAATTTGATATATTTGTATAAATCATGATAAAAAAATTTATAATTTTTATATACTTAATTATACGTAAAGAATTATAAACTTTACAAACAGTGTTGAGATATTTTATTTATTTCACAATTTTGTCTGTGTAAAATATTAATTATGAATATTTCATTAAATATTTAAAGTATTTCAAAGTAAGAATATTTTAGATACATAAAAAACACACAAAGCGCAGTAAAATAAATGCATTCTACTTCGACGATAAACAAATTAAAAGTTTTAAAATAAGAAATAATAAATTAATAAAAATGCTCAGTCCATAATTTCAATCTCGCTTGATATCCCTCTTCAGATCATCTCTTTTTTGTGTTTGTTATTTATGGCACTCACACGATATTCATTTACAAGAATATGATTAATTATACACGCACCAATTAATGGAACACAGAATGGAATGATTACACAGCAAGCTGTATAATATCTTTTATGTTAATCATTTGCGACAAATGACGCTCTTTACATTATTATAGGAAAATACGAAACGATTACACACATACACTTATTTTCCGTTCTGGAAAATCGCGTGATCAAATTTATACAATGCTATCTATATTGTTAACGAATATGCACTTTATTATATTATAATTTTATTAATTCCAATTTTATTAATTCTAATTAAAACACAAGTGAGTAAATGCACTTTAATTTACAATTAAAGATACATCAAAACGCAATATCCAAAAATATACCGTTTCGCCGCGAGATAGATTTCGAATAAATTATCTACTAAAATAAGCGTTTTAATAAATCACAAATGTACAAACGCCAAATTTACGGGTGAACAAAATATTAAAATACGGGATTAATAGGTTTTGCTATAGATTAAATGTATCGGATTACAACGTTCGAATCAATCTATTTAATGGCTAAATGATTTTATTAATGAATGAAAAATTCAAAAATGATATCGGTTATTTTATTTCGATACTCTACGATACGAAATACATAATGGCTAATAGAAATGTAATAATTAAAACTTAATTAATCACGCAAATATTGATAATTATTAATTGTAGAAAACAATCGTGTTTTATGAAATAATACGATGCCGAATATTCTTGTGACGTATAGCGCGTTATTGTTTACATGCAATTTTAACGTATTCTCTCGACGAGAATTGAGCGAGTCAGTCTTATTGTCATTCACACAGCGAGACTCGAGCAAGCCGAGTTTCGTTATTATTCGTGCGGCGAACCCCGAGTGAGCTACAAATAAAGTGAGACGCTCCGTGTGTTATCTGCCCGTATGTTATCTCTCAAAATATTACAGATACTAAGGGAAATCAGACGTGATCTTTATTATGATTATTACAACTAACAATTATCAACTCGTGTGGTTAATTAATATTTGCGGTTATCGTGCATCAATTAGTTATTAATACGCGAAGTAATCCTGCCAGTATTATGATTAAATTAGAAATGCCGATATAATTTGCGAATTTTCCAATTATTAACTAAATTTCGCGAACAAAAAG